CCCCCCCCCCCCTGGGCAACAGTATTGTAAGTAGGATAAGTAATCCTAAGTAGTGTAAGTTGTATTGTTGCAAGTAGCATCTGTAATCGTATCGTAAGTGGTGTAAGTAGTTTGTAAGTAATTACATTGTATAACAAGTTTTGTTAGTAATGTAAGGGACTGTACTCTATCAGTATTGTAACAAGGTTAAGTAGTTGTATTACTGTTGTAAATTGTGCAAGTAGCCACACCAGTGTTGTAAGTAGTGCTCAGTAATGTAAATCACAATTAAAATGTAAAAGGAAAAAAAAAGAAAAATAGTTAATTCCAATTCTGATTTTCCTACTTGATATCCTGTTTTATCTGATCTAAATATCCCATGTCCCGTTAATTTTCCCCCAAAATATCTTGAATCCCATTAATTTTTTATCTAAATATTGCCAAACACCCCTGATAGGGCCTTGTTGGTTATTGCTCACTGAAAAATTATAAGGGTGAGTAGTCTACTTGATTGAGAATAATGTTCCATCAAGTGTTGTGACACTAAATGAAATCACTCCGGCCAGTCGCCAAGGACCCAGACATTCCATAATTTCTACTTTCAAGGCAACCTGCATGTAACTGTGTTCTACCACTTCTATTCAAGGGGAACTTAAACCTCTGTTTTCTTAAAATCTTGGATATATATTAATTCTTTTTAAATAATTTTTTTTACTGCCACATTCCTTCACGAGAGTGATAATAGTGAAACAAGCCAGGCTGTTTCAGTCTTTCAACTTCTAGTTTAGCAGAAAGCACGCGATCAAGCAGATCCCAATCTTCACCTCCCCATTTAGTGGTAAAGTCTTTAACATTCATCCCTGCAAAAACAAATAAATAAATAAGCAAAGTCATGTACATATGTGCGGAGCAGCAGTGGCCTCATGATTAGTCCACTCAACTCCAGATTGAGTGGTTCCAGGTTCAAGCCCTTACCGGGGGGAACATTGTGTCATGTTCTAGGGCAAGACACTTTACTCTCACGGTCCTTCTCTCAACCCAGGTGCACAAATGGGTACCAGCAATTTTAATGCTGGGGGTAACCCTGTGATGGACCAGCATCGCAGGGGGGCCGGGGGGGAGGGGGGAGTAGAAATATTCCTAGGGCCATCAACCACCTGGCTCATATGCAGGCTTTACCTTTATCTAAAAAATGCCCAAGATGTACCATTTGTGCTCACCCAAAAAGATTGAGACTTGCCTAATTGCCTTTCCTGTTGTGGTGTGTTTCAATTTTAATATTTCATTTTATATGTTCAGAACCTGTCCTCTGTGAAGGATCTCCAGAAATAGCAATTCTTGAAGATGGCTGGACTGTCGTTACAAAAGATGGAAAAAGGTACAGTGAGTTTAAGTATTCTTTTTTTCTAAACCTGAGGTGATTTGACCTCTTATGAAGTTTTTGATAGGTGTCTTCGTTTGAGATTAAACTTAGTTTGAAGAAACCCCGAGTGGGATACTCCCATGTAGAAAGGACAGGGGTACTTGTTGGAAATTTTGAAAACAACCCCTTAGAGACTCCAAGATCCTGTTTTGTGGGCGTGGTTTGAAGTTTAAGTTTAAAGGTACCAATTCTGAAACAACACATCTCCTCTTATATTTTTTCCAACTCAATAACCTAAAATGAACCGCAAAAGTAGAGTTTTTGAGGCTGAGCACCCTATGAGGTACCAAAACCGCTTTTTAAACCCTAAAAGGCACGACGAGTACCCCCATCCTTTTCATATTGGTGTCCACCCCCTCCTCCTGGGAGAAACATTCCTGACAAAAGACTATTGACAAAAGATCAAATTCTGTTGACTACAATCATGTTCTTGACCTTGACTTGTGTTCTAGTTCATAAGTAAGTAAGAGAACCTTTATTTTTTCAGGGTAACTCTGTCAGTACAGACTTTTGGTAAATAAAACTGCTGTCAATAGAGGCCCTTCTAGAAATAAGCAAAACAAAAATTAAAAAGTGGTTTAAAAGGTTGAAAATATAAAACTACAAGTAAAGATTAAAAGCTAAAATTTTGATATCAATTTTCATCCTTTTCTTTGTGTCACATGACTAATCACATGGAATAAATATCGTTCATTTTCTGCCAAAGTTATTAAAAATACAAAACAAAGAAAAAATAGAAAATTTATGACTTTATAAATAACAACGAGTAAATCACTTTTTCTCAGACTATTCTGATCTTTTTCTGAGATTTATGTAGAGGTTTATCTCTACAACCAATGGAAACAGCAGAATTTGGATTATCTGTACTGAAGGCATCCGGGATCGAGTGTCAATTGTTACCCTTGATCGACCTTCTATTATCACTCAGTCACCACTTGATTGACATCTCAATCAACACTCGATTGACATCTCCATTGATACTCGGTCATCACTGGATTGACATCAGTTGGTCGACATTCACCCGAGAGTTGACTAATTTTCACCATAGACACGCCATCCAGAGTTGATCGATACATATGAGTCAGTTGACACCTTGCCAACTATCGACCAACTGTAGATTGAGTGTCAATTGAGTGTCTATCAAGATGTCGATTGAGTGTCAATCTAGTGTCAACTGAGTATTGAGTGTTGATTGAGATGTCAATGGAGTGTTGATCAAAGGTATCTATTGACACTCAACCGGGGATGCCTTAAGTATACATGATCCTAGGATTTTACCTTTCTTGTTTGGTTATGGTCTGTGGTACTAAGTTTGTGCTTATTAGATTATTTGCTAACAACTCTTTCACATTTTATCAGGACTGCACAGTTTGAGCATACACTCTTGATAACTGATACAGGAGTGGAAGTACTTACAGATGATACTGAAGACTGAGAATTGACCTTGGGACAGCAGTTCATGCAGAGTAGATATTCAAGGCTTTTTTTAAGCAAAACAAAAGTGAAATTTATATTTTATAAAGTGAGTTTCATAAGATCACTGTATTTTACTTAACAAAGTGAGAATAAACTTTAGTACAAATGTCTGCTTATTAGTTTCATGACTGCCAACTTTTTCCCTGTTACACCCAATTCATTATGGGCTATTGACCAATTGACATCAAGATGGCTGCTTCCTTTTAGCGGTAGTAGAGCAGTGGTGGATCCAAACCTTGAGCTAACGGGGGGGGGGGGGGGGGGGGGGG